GGTCGATAGCTTGGACGTGGGGATGCGCATCGCCCTCCGACGGCAAGACGGCGCCTTTCGCCACTTCCTCGCCCAGGGCCTCCTCCTTGGCCAAGCTTTGTCTCAAGTCTGTACTGCAGCTGTGCTTCTAGCTAGCCGTCTTCATGCTCGAGCTTGGGTTGCTAATGCATGGTGCAAGCAGTTGTTGAACTTCGTGGTTCACCATCACAGCCTATCGAGCCTACAGTGCCTGACTAGGCCTGAGACCCAGATTATGAGCACTCTCAAGGTCGGCAAAGCAACCTCGACGACACCGCCGGCGACACCATTCGCTTCCCCGTGCTCAGCGAGCTCCCCCGCCATGGGTGCACATATGGGCTCTACCTCAAACTCCCATACCCCACTGTTTTCGTTTCTGCAGGTTCTTATTACATAAACCCGCAATGTGGGATTTATAAGGACCCTACAACAAGTAGGCTGGGGTAGTTCAAGTATTCTCAGCTGTGCTGATGGGGGTTCAGACTTCGGAGACCCGTCGGATCCTTCCTCGAGGCATCTTTTGGGGGAGAGGTGGGGTTTGGGCTGAAAAAGCTGAGAGGCTCATGTCCTACAGTGAAGGTAGCCTACAGGGGCACAGGGCTGCTTCTGTGGGCACTTCCTGTGCTCCTTGGCATCTCTTGGCTTGCGTAACGTGGCAGCAGCCAGACAAGTCCCCCTGACAGCTCTCGTGGTGGCACATGCCCCTTGCGAAGACGAAGCCCAGCCAGATCGTGTCACCCTGGCCCAGGCCCTAACTGAGGAACCTGATTAAGAAACCTTGGGCCCTTATTAGGGTTACTTATATATGGACCCGACTATTTTTTGGGCTATAGGGCCAGGGTTCCTTAATCAGGTTCCTACATTACTGCTTAACCAGCCACTAGAAAAACCGTTGCCAAGGAGAGCCCGAAAGCCTCGCCCCAACAAGGATTCTGCAAGCTACGGGGCCACGTCAATCCTAAGCAGATTAGGCCGTCACTACCCGAAATCCGATGCCGGCCAGAATGAGAGGGTACACTAAAGCCAGAAAGATAAGTACTTTCGCAACCACGGGGTCAAGCTGCTCGTCGAACGCAGAAGTCAAGCAAAAGCCCCTTGGTACTTCCTGGCAGTCGCAGATCTTCGCATCTGGCAGAAAGTAGGAAAGCACAGAAACGACAAAGAAACATATATGTACTGTGGCCCAAACCCCGGAGCCTTCGCTCATCACAGTATACCCGTACAGCTAGGGGAGGCTTAGCATGAAGGACTCAAAATCCAAACATCGTAACGAGTTTCGAACTACAGGCATGAACCGAAGCCAGCAGCCTGAGAATTGTGGGCTTAGAGCAAGGGCGAATGACTCATATAGGGGCCCTAATAATTAGAAGAGGGTTTCGTGGTCCATTATGCTATAATTACAATAAGGAACCCCAAAATAGTATAGGTAATTATTTAGGACCTTATATTCGACTCCGAACGGACCGAACAAAGGGGACATGACATGTCGAGCTCACTTGTACAGGGTCTCGGCACCCGCTGCAGGAAGGACTTGAGGTCCAGGGTCTTGCGGATGGTGCTTGGCCGAATCCATGCAAGTCACGCTGAAACACTCCAGGCAAGCCGGACTCGGATAAACGAAATAACCTAAACCCTAAACCACTGAAATTCAGACCGGGACCTTCTGTCTGTGCGACGGCTTGGGCTCATGAACACGTCTGACAGGACACCTTTCTTCCGCGATCTTTCTGGGCATTTCTTCAAACGCCACGAAGTTTCTGACTGCGGTCTCTCGGTTAATCAGCAGCTCATGGAACACATGCAAGTCGTCATGGGCCAGTGGGTGCACTATGCTCTGAGACGGATCCTAACAATCTTTTTAGTGACGACATGACAGATGCTGCGTGGTTGCGGCGGTGTTGGTGGCGCTCTTGCGTGGCGACGTCAGTCCAGAAGTTGTGCTGTAGGAGTTGCCGTAGTAGTAGTACTAGTAGTAGTAGTAGTAGTAGTAGTAGTAGTAGTAGTAGTAGTAGTAGTAGTAGTAGCAGTAGTAGTAGTAGTAGTAGCAGTAGTAGTAGTAGTAGTAGTAGCAGTAGTAGTAGTAGTAGTAGTAGTAGTAGTAGTAGTAGTAGTAGTGGTAGTAGTCGTAGTAGTAGCAGTAGTCGTAGTCGTAGTGGTTGTAGTAGTAGTAGTAGCAGCAGTAGTAGTAGTAGTAGCAGCAGTAGTAGCAGTAGTAGTAGTAGAAGTAGTAGTAGTAGTAGTAGCAGCAGTAGTAGTAGTAGTAGTAGGAGTAGCAGGGCAGGAGCAGGAGCGGCGGTCGTGGCAGTAGCAGTAGCAGGGCAGTGGTACCAGCAGCATGGGAAAAGGGGTTAAATGGTATCATCGTTGCACACGAACTGCAATGCCGTTACTGATTTTAGCAGTAGCACTACCACCCGACCACCACGAAACGATGACTTCGAGCAGCAGCAGCAGCAGCAGCAGCAACAGCAGCAGGAGCAGCAACAGCAGCAGCAGCAGCAGCAGCAGCAGCAGCACTAGCAGTAGCAGAAGTAACAGCAATAGCTAATGCTGCAGATTGGAGTAGCCGCAATACTCACCCCCCAAAGTACTATGTCTGCAATTGCTAAATTTCTGACATTAGCAGCGCGAACTGCCCGGTGCATGTGCTTTCGTCCTTACTTTCTGCAGACAAATTCTTAGTTGCGAGTAGGTTTTTGTATGTGCGAATACGGATGATGCCCTCTGACAGCTTGATGCTTCACTAAACGCTTCCCCCTTGTATTAAACACTCCCCCAACAATGATTAAACCGCACACTTATCGAACAACACGCACTGGGGGGGGGGGGGTGGGTTAGAAGCAAAAGCACAGAGCAGGCGAAGAGCAAGAGCAGGAGAAGAGCCGCAGCAGGAGCAAGAGCAGGATCCCAAATGTGACTTTCGATATAAAACCAAACCCTAAATACGAACACGTTTTTCGAGTATTACAGTCGGCCCCCCCGTGTTTAAGATTAGGGGGACGGGAGATTAGCTGGATTCTGGACGCGGCGACGACTCACAACATCCTCCACAAGATTCTGCAGCTGCATCTGCTGAGGTATACAGGTTTCACACGGCATATAGCCATAGTCATATTACTAATTACTGTGTTCATGCGGCGCATCCAAACACTGTAGACCAAAGCAGGCAGAATTAAACAGTTCGACACTGGCAGGCTGCCGCCGTGTGCTGAACCTGGCAGGGAAGGATGGACACAGGTGCAAGTTAATGCTGGTCGCGCGATACGCGATACGAAGATGCGGGCAACTTCCGAAACTGATCTGTGCCACGCGCTCCAAGCTTTTGCCGATTTGATCTTCAAGCGAAGTTGTTTTCAGATTTGGATTTTGGGGGGACGACCTCAGCTAACCCCCACTCCGAAGGTTGCTCTGCGAGCGACCCTCGCTCCTTTTGTGCACGATAACCTTTCTACGGATACAGAACTGCACTCCTCGATAACTGATCGACGACACAAGGACGGCAGCTGCTTGTGCGACTAATGTAACATTTGGATGCCTGCTGTCTTGGGGTGGCACGGAGTCTACATACGACATGCTCTGTAAGCCAACCATGGCATCCAGGTTGTCCTTGAGTTCGGCCCACCGGCTTCAGGAACTTAGGGGTGCAGCATCGATGCTCACATGCTTCAGGGTCTTGAACCTGCATAACCAGCATTGAAATATCTGAAACTGTTAAACATCAATCCCGTAATGTGAGCCTCGCGAGGGTCCCAGTTCCAGCTGCGAAGCAGGGGCAAAGGAACTCTAACTCTGAATGTAGGTCGCGTAGAAGACAGTCAGATTTGAAGGAGGTGTCTCGATGCTGCCATCATGGTTTATGGAGCCCTGAATGACTAATAAGGAATGTATGAAGCCCTCACAGACTCCTAAGCCTTATAATCAAGGGGCATTAGAGAAATTCCGAGCCGAGGGCCGGCTAAGCCAACGGCGAGGAGGCAGAGAGCTAAATCACCCCCACTCGAACAAGAAACCAGATATCGAAAACCAAAAAACCTTAAATTCAAAGACCCTTAACCCTATAAACCCTTTTCAGCAAGGGCTCTGTATGCCGGCAAGATGGACTCTCAAGGTCTTCACACCCTTTTGCACAGACTTGTACATGCCCGCCCTAAACCCTGAACCCGCAACCGAAAACCTCCTAAAAAAACAAAACTCTGAACCCTCATAGCGCTTCGACTGTGAGGCCTCCTTTACATGAGCCCATGGGCATTTGGGAGTCCCAGGAGAAGATGGGGGACGCTGATGCCTAAAATAGCGGGATTCTGATTGAAAGGCCCACTTTTTGAGCGAGGTCTCAAAAAGTGGGCCTTCTGAACAGGGAACCCTGCAATTTAAAAGACGCTCCATTATATAGTATCCTTAGAATATCCGTATAATTCCGTATAGATCAGTCCCACAAACAGCGACGGCACTCTTGCAAGGACTCTGCATCTTTCGCCATGCGCAGAGAATCTGCCAGCCCAGTCTCATGCACGGAAAAACTGGAACGAGAAAGCATGAGCCGCTTTAGGGCCGCTTTGGTTCACAAAAGCTGATGTCTCTGCGACCTTCGACACGCTTCAAAACGCTCCCAGCCTTGACCGACGGACAGTACGGAAGGCCACTGCAAGCCCCGGAAGAATTACGACTTGCTGCACATAATATAAGGGGCTAACCCGCAGCTACACTTCAGTTGCAGTATTCAAGGGCAGCAAATCAGAGTGGCATGGTCTGGAACGCTCCTCCAGCCAGGCACACAGTACCTGAATGCCCGCAGAAGCACATTCACATAAATTGCCCACAGCCATCCCATCTTCCCCCAGGCAACTGTACAATGATTGCGATAACACCACCTTGACATTGAACGCCGGCAGCACCCCTAAACCGGAACCCAATAAAACCGAGGCACGCAAAGAGCCTCCAAGACTGCAAAGGCAGCGACCTGCGTTCGCACGTTTTGCATG